AATTGACTACTGCATGGATCGACTGGAACGATGTATTACTATCTACTCTTAATAGTATAAACACCAAACATATCACAAAAACTTTAAGTAAGCACTATTAGGTAATAAAGTAGTGTGTTTTTCTGTAACAACTCATTTTCGGTTTCCCTTTCCTGTGACACATTTCTAGTACATGTAAGTAACACACTTTAACCACTGAGAGAATACAACTATGCAGATAGTGAGTGGTTATACCAATCTCGTCAAAACTGATTGATAATCAAAATATAAATTACATGTAACATAATATATTAAATGTAAAATATGTAATTTTGTGTATCATCTCTTGCGTCTTGAATCTAATGATGTCTTTTGTATAGCGTTCCTCTTATGTCTCATTGTGTCGAGACTCATTTATTATATTTTGAATTCTTAGTACATTTAAGAATACAGACGTAAGAATGTAAACTTTTGCAAATGAAATTTAAAGAAGAAGCTAATGTTTAATGTAATGTGTTCAAAAAATTAACGTTATATAAAAACGGTTACATGTTGATAAACGGTTACATGTTGATAGTTGTTTTGTTACACTAGTTCGGCCAATGCCTGATATTTCCAGTTATATTGGCCATTGAAATTAATAAAAAAAGGGAACTGAATAAATCATGACAAAATGTTGAAGTCTGATCAATCTCAGGTATTGGTAAAATAACATTTTTTAAATGAAAAATAGTCTGTTTCCAATAGAATCGACATACTGCAAGTTATGCATTTGTTTTGAAATGATCATCATCACATCACACATCAGCATCTCTTTAGAAATGAGTTTTTGGCTTACTATACCATCCTGGCCATCTTGGGTTATTATAGGTATTGTTTCAAGTTTTCCTTCTATTAGCAGTGCTGTTTTCCTGCTTAGTTTAATCCCTTGGTCAGATCTCATGACACCCACGGGATGAATAGGGGTGATAACACTCCGCATTCTTACTCCATCACAACACGGATTTGAAACGATGATGTTTGATGATGTTTCTCTAAAGCACATGTATGTGTAAAACATTATGTCCTAATGTTTCACTTCAGTAGTTTAAATAAGTTTTGCCTAAGACAGCGTTTATTGTGTAACACTCGGCATTACTTTTATAGCTTGCCATTTTAATATAAAATAAAAATGTCATCAAAGTAATTACCATCTCATCCTTTCTTAGAGCTAAATTTTTTTTTAAGTTATATAGTTGAGGTCAAAATAATTAATTTTAATAAAAAAATTAAGCAACCTTTATAAAACTCTGTTTGAATAACTTCATATTCCGTTCAATAAAAGCAAAAGGATGTTGCACTAAGTACAGAGTTTATGTGATACTCGTAAATTGTTAACTCACTGAAATACTAATTACACCGCACACAGCAAAAATAATTACGTATTCTAACACAACCTAAAAATTAAGCGCCACCTATTTACAGTCAAGGTAAGTTAAACAACAGTAAGGGTAGTTGCCGTGCTGCCATCTGTGATCTGTGAAGAAAACTTCGTGAGAAAACTCAACGGAAGGTTTCTTGAAAATTATAAGTACTAAAAGTTGCTCCAGTGTGTCGCTGTGTTATACTGAAGTGACCAAATGTTAAGTTTACAAATTATCTATACGTCTAAAGCCACTTCGCAAGTTGACGTTTGAATGTACAAATCTAATTCGGTACTTTAAGACAAAGAACACGTATTTTCCATTTATACTGTGCATTATTAAGTAGAAAGGAAAAGCAAACATGTCACACTTAGCACCGTTGACGTTGAGGTAGATAAAGACAATTAAATAACAAAGTTTAGTCATATGTTGTTTAGTTTACCAATACAAAATGTGCTGGCGGCCAAACTAAACACATTACTACATATTAAAAATAAAATTCAAACTTGCAAAATAAATACTAGTATTACTTCAAAATCAGAATTGTTTAACTATTTCAATTTTTATAGGCAATTTTAAGAGTCTTTAGCCGTATTATCAACAGAGAAATATCTGGCTTATTTAAATTAAATTTTCTTTATTGTTTTATAATTTGCGAATCTGGCGTTTTGCAAACTTGGTATCTTGCAATGCTCGATTTCTTTTCTTTGCAAAATTTTACTTTTGTTGACTGATGTACTTACTTCAACTACGTCATAATATTTTTTTGCTAGTTTTATTTCCATTCAATATAACTAAAAATGCGGAAAAAGTAAGTCCATTCTGCAACTAATATATTTTTACTTATTGTTTCAGATGTACAAAGTGTTTGATGTGATAATCTATGTGGGAATTACCCTCAGTTAGCGCCTTGTCCCCAAATGACCCGGCTTTCGACATGCCTCAGTCCCCCTCACCTCGTCTACGCCATTACAGGTCCCTGGAAAAGAAGCATGATTTAAATTCATCCAAGCATGATACTTTATAGCAAGCATGAAATTTTGAGACCTGAATATAATTTCACGTAGAATAAATGAAATCCCAGCATGGATGTTACCTGTGGTATGTTCGCACGTATGTATCCAACGTCAGCAACATGCTTTTGAGTGCAATGGCAAACAAAGATATCGGTAATGCATGACTCGTTAGTTCTAAGCTTCTTATTTTATTGATAAATATCCGAATAATAAAAAACCTAGAATAATAACTTATTTTATTTTTAAGTAGATAAATACCCATATTTTTACTCGCCCTTAAACAAAATATAATGAAATAGAAGTATGTAATTTCTTATAATACACAAGCATAACGAGAATAAAACTTTCTACCACCAAGACGAACAGCTTTCTTCTTCTCTCTTTTCTTTTCTTCTTAGTGGTCTAGTTCGTTAGTGGGTAGTCTGTAAAAAAAATATTATAAATAACGGATCACTCTGCGCTTCTAACCAATCTTCCTGAAAGTCCTTAGGTCAGGCCTATATTCAATAGTGACAGATGCTTTGTGACTGAAGTGATGTTTATTGATTGATTATATGATCTTAATCATTTTATTTTCTAAATTTCTATTCAATTCACAGCCAGTTGATTTCCCAGATGAGTTTTCTTTGCTACAATTTAGGTACCTTTTATGTTTGTCACACCGGGTCAGCCCTTGGTTATCGGGGCCCAAGTTATCTTTTCAGTTCATTCATACATATCACTGGTATACAAGATTCCTGACATTGAATCTCCTGACTAGTGAAGTCAATGATTGACTTCACTGACCAACCAAAATGAATTTTTTTACCTGTAATGAGTGAGTCTAAATGCCATTTATTTAATTTGATAAAAAACCGAATGTTTCAGGAATCCGAATGTGTCGCATTTTTCCGGAAAGTTTTCCAACTTCCATTTCCCTAATAATTTAACATTTTCTCCATTGCAATTTGAAGTAGATGTTTGTGAAAGAAAACAGAGAAAAACATTTTTTTTTTATTCAATGCTCAAGTATTGTAACTATTTTGAAAAAAAAAACAGAAAAGGCATATTAGTAATTCTTTTGACTGTCCTATTAATTTTTAAATCGATTTTTTGCAAGTATTTCTACTTGAAAAAGCCACCTACATTCGCTGCCCAAGAACCAAGTAGAGTAACCTATTTAGACATTGATCATGACCCACGACACTCTCAGCAAAAGATAAATTTTCTTGAAACTCAGCAGGAAATTAATCTGAAGTATATTGGCTCATTATAAATACTACTTCTGAATACTACTACTACTTAACTAATTTAATAATACTTACTACTAATTTAGTCACATACCAGAACATAAATATGATAATTCTCTTATGCACTAGCGTTTACGTAACAAACACGTAAATTTAGAGTATTCAGTTAAAACAATTAATCACATAAAATCATAAAAGCATACAACGCACTGTACTGGTAGATATAGAAATTAGGTTTTATTTTGAACTATAGTAGATTAAATAGACCACTAAATTTTTAAAACGTAGCTTACACGAATTGGCATCTAATAAAATAAAAGCACCATGATCACTTACTAATAAAAATAATTTGCATATAAATTGAAGCTATTAAAAACTTTCACTAGACTTTTCTTCTCAAAATAGAAGATGCAAGAAAAAAAATTCTTCTTGGTATATACACACCAACAATTGATGGATGGATGATTTGTATCTACAAATAAACAACATTGAAAAATACTCTAGTTAAAGTTTTTAATGAAGTAGGTAGATATAAAGCTAATATAGATATAAATTAAAACAATGGCACCGCTTATTAAATATGCAAAAGTTTACCCTCACCTTCTGATCTACAATATCTATATTTTCGTGTCTTTACATTTATATTTACTAAATTGCAAAATCTTCAAAGAAATTTACACTTTCTAGTATTATAGAAAATGTAAATTTAATGTTTATATTTTTTAAATTTAGGTTTTGCCACCTGAAAATTTAAATTGGCTGAAATGATTTAAATTTCAATATTTATCGATGGCGCCGTCGATAAATCATAATCAAATCTATTACATACGATTTTCCCCATGTATTGTAACTAATCCGTTTACATCTAACTATGATTGGAATTTCTGCCTATCGACTGTTCATTCTCATGTACTGACTTGTGAACAAAATATTTTGGGTTTACGGGTAAATTGAATCTCATTGTTAAGAGATTTCAAACTGAGTGAGCACATTCCCCGTTTCCACTTCAATAATGTTAACACCGCTTTGCTCATTCCTTAGTCACACTAAGTAAAATGCGTTCATCCGAATAGCCGGTAGATAGGTAATCAGAACATCATGCATCAAATAATACTCCCTATTATTACAATTACCGTCTCAAAGGCTGCAAAATATCCAAGCTTTGGACAACAATGCTTGAATATTTTGAACACGTGAAATGGGAAAAATGTGCGATACTACAGTATAATTCTTTGTCGCTGATAATCAATACAATTATAATCTGACAAGAATATTATAGTATCGCATCAATTGTTTATTGATAATGTTATACGCGTAAACAGCAAAGGGTGTGGTTATTACTTAATATCAGTAGTTCGGTTATCAGCCCGGTGATGCGAGCACAAGGGCACGATATATCGCTTCACGCTTATTCACACCGACTTCCGATCAGACGAGCTTCAGTCATGTATCGTGCTATAAATTTTGGTAACAATAAGTCGTGAGTGTTGATAAAAGTTTCTGTTAATTCAAACATTTCAAAAGCATTTTTATGAAGTGATTTTGATTTTGTTTTTACTTTTGACAGGACCATGACAGCAATATGTTTCGTTTGCAACCTACCAATACTGTCACATCAAGTTGGACTTGTGTGGGCTGGAGGCAACGGGTGGGACGAGCTCACCAGGTCCACTTTAGAGGAGTCGACGTTAAGACAGAGACTTGGCAGTCGGAGAGACTCCGCTGCTCAAGTATCCTGTCTATCGCCACCAGAACCAGACGTCGAAAATCAGCCCAGAGGTATACTCGAACCCTACTTTAAATTGATAATAATAGCTCACTGTTGGTCTTTATAAAAAAACGTAACATGAAACTACAAACGACGAAACTTTTGCACAAATATGTAATAAATTTAAACAATTTATTGGCAGGAGGACCTCGGCGCCGCCGCTCATCCTTGGCACAATTAACAGATATTCTGCGCGAGTGGGGCGGAGGAGGCAGTGCACCCCGTCGTCAGCGTGCACCTCTTTCCCGACGAGAAACCTTAGCAGACCTCGCTCGCTCCCTGCCCTGGGCCCGTCACGAGCCACCTCCGCGTCGCAGACGTGACTCCTCGGCTGACTCTGGTATTAAATCCATGGCCTCCAAACGACGCGATTCCAAAGCAGCTCCACAAGATTTTCGCTCAGAGTTTCCAACATATAACTTTGACAGAAAGGACTCAACTACGGTCATGCCAACGAGAGAAAGACGTATCAAAAGGCGTGGGTCTGGTGAAGACAATAAAGAACGTCGAGATTCTGTCGACGGATACCGCCATCGGAGGGACTCTGTCGTAGCACAACCACCAAGAATTGTCGCTACGCATAGAAAAAGACGTGCTTCGCCTCCCACACCTGCACCGCCGTCATTCGTAGATGTTTCCTCTGATCCTGGACCATCAACTCAAATGCCATCGGTTACAATAGTAGCTATTCATGAACCAAGTCGTTCAGATGGCGAATGTCAACCAACAATGACAATGCCAACAATTATAACATCTGCTGTGACTCCCTCACCTACTTCACCCACGCCGCCTAATAATGTCACACAAACTTCACAAACGACACAATCAGCTCAGGCAACTCAAGTCACTCCTGGTGGCCGCACTCCCCCCAACCTAGGTGGCCGTCGAGACTCAACCACTCAGTGCGGTAGGACTAGAAGAGATTCTCGTGCTGCAGCCAGCCCTGAACGACGACTGGGTCGACTACAAAGGCAAGCTACTGCTTTTGATGATCCAGTGGGCCCCCCTGGCACGAGGCGAAGAGATTCAGGACCGTCCTTAGGACCTGATGATGAAGGAAGGGCACGCAGAGACTCATTAAGCCCTGATTCGGCAGCAAGACCACGTAGAGAGCGCACACAGTTAAGCCCTGATCGTGCTGGTGGCGGAGAGTTAAGTCCATCAGCGGCACGACGGCGAAGTCGTTTAAGAAGACAAGCTTCGTGTGCCCGCATGGGTCGAGCACGAAGTCCCGAATCTAGTTCATGCTCAAGCCGTGATCCTAGTCCTTGTGCACGACCACCTGAGAGAACAATGATACGTAGACAATCTACTACAGAAGAAATCCTCATAGCCCGTGGGTTCCGGAGGCAGTCAACAACCGAAGAAATGATTAGATGTAGGAATTTCCGAAGGCAAAGTTCACAAAGTGACGATGCCTGCATGCGAGCTAGGGGGCGCCGCGATTCTTCTACGCAAATACTAGATGGAACTATCGGCACTATGACTGTTGAGACCACTAGCACCTTCTTCGATTCCAGCACTCAGACTGGTAAGTAATAATAATAGCTCCACACATCTTACACACGGCAGGCTGATCCTTTAAATTTAAAAAGTAATGCTTACTTTTAAAAATATTAAGTTCATACTAACATAAAAGCTACTAATTAATAATGTAAACACATCGAAAGTTTAATGCAAAATTTGGTTTTCACAGGGAAAACCTAATTTTTTATAACGCAAGGTAGCGCGAAATTGATTAAAGTTATCGCCAGCCTGCGATGTACAACTTTTAGCTAACACGCGCTGAAGGGCTTTTGCTGGACGTGAAACGCATTACAACAGCAAACTCAATCGCTATACGAGCACTACTCACTGACAATAGCCATTGCCACGTGCTCAGCCCCCGCCCCTTTTCATCAGCCAATCGATTCACACCTTGCTCGTTCGTCTCTGTCCCACAACCCTGTTTTACCGACAGGAAGGAGAGAGTTGACGGTTGAAAATTCCTCTTTATCACGGGAGTGAAGCGAGTCTAGTGGCGCCACTACCGGTTGTACACGGTATAGGCCGGCCACTTTAAACTGGCAGCGCGATCGCGCGGACCTGATCGAGATGAGATGAACGCGAGCCCCCGGCGCAGGCTCGCCCGCCCGCGCCCTGTCATCTGTTGCGAATGCTGCCATGTTTACTAGTACGAAAGTGACGTGCCGTACACAACGAATAACCTCAAATATTAAAACATTGACAGCCTAGAATTGCGATAAAATATTTTTCGGTATATTTTCAAAGCAGACGTGACAACGAATCCCATTTTCATATAAAATATTTAAATAATTGTTTGAAGAACCTCATTTGTGTTTTTAACTTTTTTATTTAAACCCAGTTTGTATAGTTGGGATAGTATATTTTAATGAAAAATTTATGTCTGTGATGTGAAAATGAACATGAAAAGCAGATAAAAGGACATTAGCGTGTGATATTGGTGGATAACAATATTTACAAGAGACCAATATAACCTGTAGATTAGTGTGCTGTGAAAAAACAAAACACCAAGTAGTTATTGTATCGTAAATAAATGTTAGTGTAAAAAATACTATATTATCTCGATAGATATAGAGACAATTGCATCTTATAACTTACGTGACTAATCAGACATAATACTATGGTGAGTACTAACAATTACATATATTTTTTTATGTTATTTAATATCTTATTTATAGTGAATATCGAGGATTATATTTAAAATACGGAAATGCAGAAGTTCGTGTTAACTAAGACTAAGTCACAAATATAATAGTAAATTGAAACAATAAAATTTATAAATTAAACTAAAATTTTCAGAAAAATATGATAACGAATATTTTTCTAAACTTTTCATCAAGTCCGTGCCAATCACTAGGACCTTAAAAGGGATTGATTAAAATACAAATAAATTCTGGGGAGTACCTGTCCTCGCCGTCTACTTTCTTTTAGCAATCAAGTTCAGAATAAAGTCCCTTTGATAAAATTGTTCGCCCTACTGAAATACTACAAAGAAATAAAAGAGGTAAAGCCCTTTGATAGTCGAGACGGGTTCATAGATATTATGAAGCTCTGTGACTCCCACCAAACGAGCTAACGCTACTACAATGGTTATAAAAACTCGACAATTCCCGTTTCGAAGTGACTGTTTTCAAAGTTTTCTATGGACTTCATCACCTTTTGTCTACAATTTTTAATTCCTTGTATTGGTAGTCTGAAATTCACTTTTACAGCACGATCAAAGTATTTCAGTTAGGTCATCAGTTTTTTCTCGATAGTTTTTAACCGATTTTCAAACAGGGTGCAGATTGTTGATTTCTTATGTTGAACAAATGGCTAATTACTTTTGTTATGTTTACATAATTCAGTATATAATTTGAATGTTATTTTGTTAAATGGAAAAAATGATTTGCGTAGTATTTTTATACTATTTAAATTTGTTACAGTTCCGTTTTTTTCTAATATCTTGATTGACTTGTTTGAATTGCTTCTAGTTGTGCCAATGGTCTGTCCATTGGCACAACTAGAAGCCTGTACGAATCTATTCCACATAGGTTCTATACAACAAACATGTTCTTAAAGTTTTCAAAAAACTTATTTCTATTTCATAAAGTTTAATATTTAGACAGTATCATAATATTTGACCTATTTATAAATTTACTATAAAAATAGGCTAATTTTCTTTGCATGTAAATGGAAAATAAGGAGCCACATAAACGCTGAACCAAATATGAAATACTCACTAAGGGACTGTGTTGTGTTCTAATTAAATTATTGTCGACTATAAATCAACCCATGGAATGAGTTATGGGGTCACTAGTATTATGTGTTCGATACATGGTGGCAATTTTTAATTCTATTACTGATTCTGGTGGGGCTATTATAAACTAAATAAAGTTAAAATAAAAGTACGTAATAAATACTTATCTATGGATAATTTTGGGATTTTGGGATAATTTTTACTCGTAGTATAAAAATAAGTTTTTTTTAATGACGTTTGTGAGATTTAACTATCGACGGCTTTCATTACGTGTTTGTAGAAAATTTCTAGAGATCCCTTAAAGGTTTTACTCATACTCTAGTTGCTATTATATGTCGTTCTGTGTCATTTACTTACAAAAAGTGAATCAAAAAATTAATAAACTGGCTTTCTTTATTATTTTGTAGTTTCGTTTCATCACATTCAGTTAATTTTCTTGTTAATTTGGGGTGGGGCTCGTGGCCTGGTAAGAACCGCAGGTTAACAAATTGCAAAGTAAAGCAATCATAGCCCCGTCACTCTATGGATAGGTGACCATTTTTAACACATTGAGACGAAACTACGTATAATCCTCGGTCCCGGTTATCATACGAACATTAGCTGTCCGACCTATCTTTCTAGAGGACATCGATATCATAGGGAACACTTGGGTTGTGGAGGTGTGATGGCAATCGCTTCGCATAAAAAATTGAAGTTCAGCCGCGTCGCAGTAGACTTGGACCCGACCCCAACCTAGTTTGGGAAAAGGGTTAAAACAAACAATTGAGATACATACATACCTTAACAAGTATAGATTGTTCTAGTTTGTGAAACATATTTAAACTCACAGTACGTTTTCTTATGAAAATGTTTTTTAACAACACTTAACTGGCTTGAAATGAGAAGAAACCTCATAAAAATACAGACGGTATGAAGATAAAAAAGTAAGTTATTACATTAATAAAACTCGCAACAAAGTTATTATTACTTCGCCCGTAGGAAAATTTCAATTTCCGATTTTCCGTCAAAATATTGGCAGTTAATAGAGGTAACAGTTTAAAATAAATGTAGTAACGTTCATAATCTTTTTTATATCCTCACAATTTCAGGGATATATGAACTATTCATATAATTAAGTTTGTACAAAACTAATGCACTTTCTGCAATTTCTTGATTTTTGTTCCTTCTGTTCAGAAATATTCCGTTTAAAAGTAGTTAATATTCAAAAGCTATTTCTGAGTATATCAGTACTCTTACATTATTAGAGTTACATTCTTCTGTTGAAACTCGGTCAAAATGGTCTGAAAGCAAAATACAAAATTTAATATTGATATGCTTAGTGTCCGTTTAATAACAACATCTAATAGCTATAACTGACGAAAACGATAAACTCATAGAATAATGAAACAACATTATTATAGCAACTCGTAATGTCAATATTATCGCAGCCATATACTTCGTTCGCTATAAAAACATGAAAATACTTATTTAGCACCGACTTTATAGCATCTACTGTAATCATATTAATTACGGTCTCTTTTCTATGTCAACCGTTTAATATTTCAATATCGAAATTGTAACAACTTTGTTTTATTAGCACGGGTAATGTAGGTAAATATCCCTTTAAGAGCTCTTACAATTTATTGACTTGTAAATTGATTAAAATGCTTGTGATGTCGCAATAACTTGAGAATTTACTTATTTTGTTCAACCTTTATATTTTCTTGTTAGTTTGTTTAATTTAAAAAGTATGTGAAAAAGGAACTCATAAGTTAGAACGTTTACAAATTAACAATAATTAAATGTTCTATGTTTGAAATACACTTAAAAATTAACTATTTATACATACATAGATCACTATATAAAGACGAGACTATATTAAGACAGGCAAAAAGTAAACAATATATACATACAATTGATATTATATTTTTTTTAATAATTTCCATCACTCTGCATACAAATTTCCACCCTCTAAACCAGTCTTGGAAACACTTGTTGTCTTCGGCCGACAGGTCAAAAACTTGTTCACTCTTTATGTGAAGACGCATTGTCATGGTGCAGCATCATTTCCTGGAACCCGGTCTTTGGTCGGCTCTCCTGCGCAGCTTTGAAAAGTTTTGGCAATGCGACTGTAGTGTGCCATACTGAGTTCACAGACTTACAATTCTCTAGCATTAATGTTGCAAGATCTCCACTCCGTGAAAAAAACTCGCTACCATTTTTTTGCCAATGTTCCACGGTCTTTGTAATTTTGTTTCCAACTAGCCATCTGGAAACACGCATACCGAGGAACGCTTCTTGCTGTCCGGATCATGTTATATATAAAATTCTCGTGTCACAATGTTCATTCCCGTACTCCTCCGAAACGGCTTGACCGATTCTCATGAAATTTTGTGTGCACATCGGGTAGGTCTGAGAATCGGCCAACATCTATTTTTCATACCCCTAAATGGTAAGGGTGACCCATCCCTAATTTTTTTTTGTTTTGCAATAAAACGTTTGCCGGGTCAGCTAGTATTAATATATATTCATGTTTCGTCGCCAGTAATGATTTCAGAAAAAACGTCTTTACCTCCCATTTTCAAAACGTAGATGCATCTAAATGGTAAATGGCTTTTTGTGTTCGATTTTCAAATAAATTTGTCTCTTAATAATATATGACACAGATGCGTTCCATTTTTAAATTTCGAGCATCTTAAAGCTTATATAGTGACCTACTTAACATGGGCCTTCAGTTGGCATTAAAGTTTTATAAAAACTTAATTAATGATTAATCAATACTTTTATGTCACAAAATTGATTTCCTAGGACAACATGGTATTTTTTTTAAATCAAGGACTGCCAGGTATATCTTCTGAGAACTACATTAATCAATAATACATTTAGGAAGTTTCTAAAGTCTGTTAAGAATACCTAAGTGACTGTCCAGTGTTTCAACTGGGTCGTCAATAACTTGAACTTAAAATGTGAAGTCTGGATTTTTGGCAAAATTCCGAGCTACATCACGATGGCTTTTGGCTTAAAGCCAAAAAAGAATTTTGTTTTCACTTTTTATTGCTTGATCATAATTTCTGGTCAAATCGCTTACAAATGTTGCATACTATGTGGTAATCTTTTTTCCAGAGGCCCTAAACTTACGTACTTTGATTTTCAGAAACGAGTACATTTAGGGGTCCAATATCAGTGGTGGTGTTTAAAAGATCGGCAATGCGATCTTTTGTCGTACACATGAGCTGCAGTGATTAGTTTACAAACAAACTAAGAGTTTACCCGATTGCAATCTTTGTCAAAACAAAAACGAAGTTAGTTTTCAAAGCAAAATCATGGTCTTGGGCCTTCAAGCCTCAGTGTTTAAGTCAAGCCAATCGCTTCTGTGATTCAACTTGTTATATATTTAAATTTCTCTTCTAACTATTTTAGGTAGTTCATGGAATTTTTATTACTCAATTATAAGACAAAGGTTTGTCCAAAGAAAGCCCATTTGTTTTCTTAAGAGTCATTTTTTAAGTGGTATTTCAATTCTTATTATTTTTGACCTTGAATTGTGGGTTCAGGTACGTCGAAAAAAGAAGTATTAGGCTTTTTTTGTAAATTTTGTATATTTTTAACTAACGCTACCCATGAATTCGTCTATCTACAGTCAATTTATCCATCTAAAGGTTGCCTGTAAGAAATTGCTTTTCAGTGACAATTTGCACATGGTAATTAATTTGGTGTACTCTTGTAAGTCTGATGTAGTTACTAAAGTGGTGTACAACTAAGTTTATTCTATTCTATTACTAGTATTACATGTTCTTTTGGTACTTGTTTAAACATTAACCGAATGCACAAATGCCGTAGTGATTTAAGTGGTCACCTCAACGCTTCCTACTGCGTGTTTTGCGTGTTTCATTACCACATAGAAAAACACTTAATGTGATTCACAAATTGTTGTTCTAAGTTTTGGGTATTCTTTGTGTCCGTTTCATGTATGTCAGTAAAGTCCCCCGCGACACAGGATATATTCCTAAAGCAGGAGTTGTCTTAAAAAAAATTGTACTAGAACTTCTAAATACATTTTGATTTAGCGTTATTTGTAGAGGTTGAAAGTTGTATTTATTTAAAGGTATAGAAACGGAAAAATAAATGTAATTTATACAAAAGTACCTGTTCTAAGAGGCATATAAAAAAAACATAATGTGAATATGTGAATATATCAATATAATTTCTTGGGAGGGCTTCAGACCGAACTTTTGTAGACGAAGTTCCGTAGTTTAAGTATCGCTTACACTTCATAACTCTGATTACAATCGATCTTCTTGTATCTTCTAAGAAGATTATTCTCTGTGGATAATAAGAACTTATATTCATTCTTATAAACTTTTGCTTCAAGTTTCAAAAGCTCCCCACATGATGTAATCCATTAATTTTTGATTATTAACTTGTACATCGCTCGACAGTTTTTAAGCCATTTTATAAACTATTATACCTACGTTTTACCTGTATAAATATTCGTTTTATACCACTAAAGTAAAAACTTGAAAACAACACGCAACTGGCAAACAGTCACCGTAGCCAGTTGATTATTGCACTATCAGAATATGATCTTTTTTTTTTAAATCGTCAAGGTTATGACGAAGCAATCATATAAAAGTTGAACTAACTTTTATGTATGTAGCCAGCAAATATATATAGGTATATATATATATATATATATATATATATATATATAGAAATATATATGATGAGACATCTATCTACGTGATAATGATCTGTCCACGGTATTTCATCCTTAGATCTATACTAAACTGCAATGAAATCAAAAGCATAAGACGAACCTTTATACCGGTGAATGGGCGATGAGCTGCCTACTACCCTTGACCCTTAGTTTTGAGCCAAAGATAGTTTAAAATTAATAGCATTTAATAACCCGTACTAATGTGATACTACACTTACAGAACCATCACCGCTCTATGACAACAATCACTACCACGAGGAATGTCTGCGTTGCAACTCCTGCGGGCTAAACCTCACCGGTCCCAACCAGGTAAGTTATTTTCTATTTATTTTTTACAGGAATATGAATAAAATGGGATGGCAAGTTCAACTTAAACGCGTTATGAAAAGTCATAGCAAATGCGTGAAGGAAAAACAATGTTGTAGGCATTTTTTGCCAGCCTATCTCTAACTTGTACAGAGAGAAACGGGATAGAAGCGTGTTACAAATTTACGAAATATAAATGTGTGAAACTCAAAGGATTGAGTTTTATGCATATTATATTCCTGTAGAGGTTTCTTTAAAGGTGAATGATCAGTAATTAAGATGCATACACTAACTTACGAAATATAGAATGAAAGAAAGAAAAACAATTTATTCGTGGTAGTAAGAACTTAATACTAGGCTTAAGGAAAATACATTTTTACGTGTAGGTACGCTTCGCAGATGTCAAGCGCTGGTTATCAACCAGAACTTTTAATGAGTGACGGACGTAAATCGGCCTACGCAATAACAAAATAACAAATAAATAAATATAGCTACGAAAGTACAGGTGAAATCAACTCTGCCATACCCATACAGCATAGAAATTATATCAAAGATAATTAGTGATTACCATGTCAAATTGCCTCTGTGTGTCGATTAAGTAACGCCGTAGCCGTAGTCGCCGTAGTCTGAAAGTTCTTAATATATATTGTATATAAGTTCTTATAATATAATAGTTACTCGTATATGACTATATACGAGCAACTATTATATTATAAGTCGAATACTATATTTAATAAAGCATTTTCGATGCTGGTTGATGATGATATGGTAGTTAGGAAACATTCCGATTTCTATACTTCTTTCTTTTTTTCTTCAACAAAAAGACAACTCCCGCATTAGGAATATATCCTGTGTCGCGGGGGACTTTACAAACATACATGAAACGGACACAAAGAACACCCAGACTCAGAACAACAATTTGTGGATCACACAAAGTGTCGTCCCATGTGGGGTTTGAACCCACGACACTCGGCGCATTAGGAAGCGGCGTGGCGACCGCTTAAACCACTACGCCATCTGTGCAGTCGAGTACTTTAAGAATCGAAAACAAGTTAAGTAATATACGACAAAAAAAAAGAATTTTAAAGTAACGTAGTTCTTACGCGTGATTTGACTCAATAAATCGAAAGAGAAGGATTATATTTGCCGTTGAAGTCATTAGAATGGATGCAGGAGCTGATACTAAACTAAACATAGAGTGTAAACACCAACCAGTATCAAGAAAAGGGTCCTTAAACATATGATTATAAAATAACATGTTTATCATATATGCAGACAAATAATGCACAAAGAGCTGCCAAATTAGACTGGATCAAAATGATTCGCACAGATAGTTGTACTGGTAATACGAGTAATATAAGAGGTGCAAAAACTATTAGTATAATATAGTACTTAAAAAATATTAAAATATAAAGATGTTCTGAGCATATATTTTATATTAAAATGATTTAACTAATGTGATAAAAAGTAATCTTGAATATTTTTTATATACAATGTATATAAAAAATATTACTTTTTCTCACATTAGTTAAATCTACAAGTATATAACAGAAAAATATTGTAGAAAGTAGTGGCATTTCCAGTCTCAAATCTTCAGATGACCTTAAACATTTTTCATGTGTGTCTATCATGAAGGAACTTAAAACATTCTTTGAGATAACAATAGACCTTATCGTTGAATAAGATATTGTAAAGAAAACTGAGGATGTGAGTACTCCAGCAAGAACGAATTGGAAGGCGCTTGAGCTTTTTGCGGAATTTAAAAGCGTGATATTTTCTAGGTGTATATTGTTTTAAATCATTAACCTGTATAATTTTAAGAATCATTGACTTTCCTCAATATATTTCACACATATGGGCTATAAAAAATAGCCCAAAATCGATCTAAGTGGCTTGCAATGGGAGAGGCCTATGTCCAGCAGTGAACTGCGATAGGCTGATGATGATGACACATATGCTCTTTTTATTTTTATCATTTGTCACTTCTGTTTCATTTGGTTGATATTCTAAATATTTCATCTAAAAGTACTTACGTGAAAGTTTAAAATAATTCATAAAGAAATTTTGTCACGTATTGAACAAATTTTTTTTTTACTTCTGGACATTATAGGAACTTCTGTTCCTAGTGCTGCAACCTAAAAATTATAATAACCCTTCTTTTTCTCTTGCGGAGATGTTTTGCAGGTAACTTTGAGAATGGTCGTCATAGGTCACCTTTTATTTGGCATACCATGTCTCCCTAATCGGTGTTGTTGCAATTAGTGACATTTTCATTTAAACCCAAATGTTTTTTGAAATCACCTTACCATTTCGTTCAGAATATTTCCCAATGTTTTCCCTCTAATCGCAATTGAAATAAATGTGTTTGGATAACGATGGTGGTGAAACCCAACCCTTATTCGTCTATGGCCAATATTAGGGTGTGTCCGACATGTTTTTAACTAATCTGCTAATAGTTTTCTAAGCTAAAAGTTTATTTTTTAAAAGATACAAAAGTTCATTACAAGAGCATTTTCGTTTCTTTTACATAATAAAAAAATATTAATAAAAAGGAATATCGAGATAGTAATAACTCATACAATATTTGTCTTTGTCGTTACAAGCCATTATAATAGTCAATAAATTACATGTACATTTTTCAACGCACGACAACGCACTACCCAGGACCATTTCTTTTTCTTTCATTTAGATTAAAGGATATATCCAACATTAATACTATTATTTATATATATATTGTATATATTGTATATTTTGTTCAAAGTTGAAAGGGGTTTTGAACAAATTATTTAGTAATTCGGAGTAAACTTCCTCACTTACTATAATATCCATTAGTTTAATGATATTATAAAGTGGTTACCACTCGGGTTCTGTCATCGATGCCCATATATTTATGATTAATGAATTATTGATGTTGTAACTTTATTAAACACAACTTTTATCCATACCAATCCACTTCGTAATATGATCCCTTTTGGTTAACCAGTGATAGGTGTTTCAAGAGTTTTTTTTTTTTTCTTATATACATACACACAATTTTATAATCACTTTCAGGAGTCATTCTTCAGAAACAAAATCTAAATCCAATTAATATAGGTTGAAACTCCTGAATGACTGTTGACTGATGTTTCCAAATTCTGAAATTAACGGTTATTAAATAATTCTAAATATAGATCGACAAAAATTCTAAACATGTCAAAATTATATTATTTTATATTAATTTTTACCCTATTCACCAGAGCCTCTCTCTCAGCCCTAGTTTTAACACATTCCATGATAGACATCCTCAACAATACCACATTCTTCACAATTTAGGCTTGCACTTATGTCCATAATATGTTGAAACTTATTGAGTATATTACAATTTTTTTTTATTAAGAATTCTGTTGTTAAACAATTGAACACGAGGAGGTTCACTTATTCCTTTCTAGAGATCTTTGATTGAAATATTCTTACCAATTATTCTGGCACATCATTTTAAATTAAGGTAAAACTTCTGAATTCTTCAATACCATCTAAGATAGCTTTCTTTGCCAATCGATCTGCCTTCTTTGTTTTTTTCTGTGCGGAAATTCCCTCGGATACCACCACGCCACGAAAAAAAACCACACGCCGTCTCGGGTACCAGTTGCCGGGGAACCTGGTGTACCCTAGGAAGGAAATCCCTGATACCCCGTCGTACCTGGGGTCGTGTAGATGACCCCCTCCTCTGTGGGAACCCCTATGTCCCCTTGGTGCTCCCAAAAGTGCACGCGCGTTCTGCAGCGCGTCTCGCCACCATCCCAGCCTGCTTCTGCTAGGGTGACAGATGGCTTCACCTACCACGCCCAGGCCTGCACTTATAGAGGACGGAGGTCGTTCTGCGACCTCCAGGCCTGGCGGGCCGGGAGAGTTCTAAACCTCTCCCGGTCCCGCTCCGCCATCTCCGTTGCAAGCATAACTTGCTTGAAGAGATAGATATTGTATGGGTTTGATTTTTGTTAAATTTATTTGGTTACTATTTGACAAAACAGAGATTGTTGCTTTTGTGTGTGTTGATCTATGACTTTAGAGTCTACATGGAAGACGACTTCAAACAATTTTGGAAATTTATTGAAATAAAGAAAGTTTGAGTTTGAGTAAGAAGACGCCGAGTTCTCTCCTCTAGACTATTGTTTGAAATTAATGTACTTTTATCAGTTTTAGTATTTCCCAAAATGACATGCTTTTATTTCTTTTTCTCTTTGCCACCATCGTGGAATTTTTAGATGTATCTTTTCTATTTTGTTTTTTTATTTTTACTTTGCCATTATCTTTCAGTAAAATATCTCTGAGCGTGGGTATAGATGTTTGTTCTACAGTCGACTCTGAAAACTGTTGTATTTCATCGAAATCGCTTGCTTGCCGCTTAAGTTTCTTACGTTTCCTCTAATGAGGACACTTCTGTATAATAATAATTTTACTGGTCCGTGCCGGAAACGTGTAAGATTCGACCTTCAGTTTACATTCATAAACTTCAACAAATGGGTGTATTGTTGAGCCTCTAAAATCAATACGAACACTTTCGCTTTCTATCCATTTGCCTACGTCTGTGAAACGTTTTAATGTTTTGGAGAGATTATATCGTATCCGCAAATAAATATCTTATTTATTGCGTCTTCTGTAATATCAAGCTCTATATTTTTAACCATACCATATAATAAATTCCTTTCTTGAGCCAAGTGATATCTATAGCCCAAATCTTTCATTTTCTCACATAATAGTAACTTTTCAACATTTGCCCTGTTTTCGAATTGAATACATACTCTATAGGGATTTTTACATCTGACTTTTGATATTCCTAAAATGGCTTCAATTTTTTAAAGTTTGGCTAAAACAAATATCTATGGACGTAATAAAAACATCAAATTTGTCACATCTTGATTCTAAAACTTTAGACATACGCCCAGAATCATTTTTTCTAGAAAAACTTCGATGCAATCGTTTCAAGTTTCTTCTCACAGTTATAAATTCACCGTCACTGTCATCTAAATATTATTCGCTATCTTATCGCATTCGCTTATTTTATGACATAATTTTCACTCTGCATATATTATCCTTTTCACTACTAAATTCTACTGTTTCCATTACTTGTTGCTCATTCTCCACATTACTTTCACTAATAGTACTCGATATAATTAAGTCTTCCCAATTTTCACTCATTTTTATTTATAAAGATATGTACAATGGTAGATTTGAAAGAAGTTGTCATCGTAATTATGCAGCTCATATCAGAACGACCGCTCGCTCGACTTGAAAAATGCTATTCTAATAATTTATTTTACACACAGGTAAAAAAAATTTCCTTTCGCAAATACTATAATCATCAATCATTTCACGATTCATCGCGAACAACGCAGAACGCAGAATGTGGTAAATGTGGCGCACATTATCGACCTGCCAATCAAATAAACTGTTACTCTTTTGTATTGAAACATTGAGTAGGGTTAGCTGCGAACTGATGAAATAATTATTACTCCGACTGGATTTAGGACTACTTCCAATCTATCGAGTACAGAATTTTTGATTGTCTGTCTAATAGAAAATTAATGCGGGTTTACGACAGTTGAAGGGCGGGGCACATGACTCTTTCTGCTTAGATACACTATCGGGAATTGAATAAAATTAAGTTTTGATGCGATTTTGTAACAAATTCAATATTTTTTTAAAGTGATTTTTTTTTAATTTATTTAAAAAAGCTAGTTAAATTAAAAGGAAGTTTGGAATTGTTTAATAAAAGTAAGAGTGTTCTATCGTTTTATAATATATTTAGACATAATATATTTTATATACTTATTAGTAATTAGCCGCAGCTTTGTTCTCTTATTGAAATACATTTTGTCAAGTTGGACGTTGCCATCAGACCTTCACAATCCAAACCCAACTAGACGATAACGAAGTGCTGTAGAAAGACTGTTGTTGGACTTGACGGAATGGATGCCCATCCATAGACTGACCTGGGTAGGTGTGGAATCAATCAGTATAATCCCTATTTTTTTACTGAGTCACCTTCTTACCTACATTTTCTTTTTAATATACAGGAGTATATTAAAATTATGTGTAATACTCCTATTATTATAAATTTATTTTTATTGTTTATAACAATTTTATGCCTGAGTTGCCCAGGTATAAATATCTATTATTTTTCTATATCTGCTTGAATACACTAACTATATTCAATAAAGGAATGGTACTCATACTGGTAAGTTAATTAGCACACTTAGTGACGCGATGCGTTTGATCAAAGTTAACGAAAGACGAATTAGAGAAGCCTAACAATGAGTTATTACCGACGTGAAGTCGATTCAATCAGAGGCGGGACAAATACCCTAATTTCTGTTTCTTTTCGGCATAACAATGAACGGTAGAAGTGT